CCTCTCCCTCCTGTTTGCCCACCTGCTGCAACATCAAGAGCTTGGTCAACACAGAAAGGGAGATTGGTGTCTAATTAGCATTTCTATAGTATGGGGGGAGGGAAGCCTCTTTTCTTTGAGAACCTCCCCTGGTGTCAGAACTGCCCACAGCAGGCTGGAGATCGAACCTGGGACCCAGCCGAGCCAGACTGTCCGGCCGACGGCACCCACCGCTCCACTCTCTCCCTCGGCTTCTGCTCTTTCCTTCCACCCCCACAAGCATCTGATTCCTGGAACCAGGCTCGGTGACCTCACACCAGTGACTTCACATCCGGGACCTTCTGGGAATTCTCAGCAGCACTTTTTCGTTAGAAACCTAACGGGGGAGGCCGGAGGGGAAAAGGAAAGGGGTGCGTCGGTGTGGGGTGGGAGGGGCGGAGCTTTGGGGCCTGAAGACCGAAAGCCGCAGAGCCAGTTTCCTTCTCGCCAGCAGGGACGGGTGGAGCTGGCAGGGGCGTGTGGCCCGGCGGCCGCCAGCGGGCCGAGGACCCGCCCCCCGGGCCCCGCCCCCATCGTGCGTGTTTGAGGGCCCGGGCGTGATTCCCGAGGGCCTTCGAGCTGATCCTCTGTCAGGGTGGTCTGTGAAGTTAGCCGGTTTCTAACCTGGCAGCTCTGCCAAAGGTGGGGAGCGGGTTCCAAGACGGAGAAGAGGGGGCTGTGCGGGGTGGGGGGCGGCGGTGTAGATTTGCAGATATGATCGTAGGGGAGAGACACACAAAACCGAAAGGTTACAACCGAGGTTACGACCGGATTTTCTGAGCTACGGAACTTCAGGCCGAGAGGTCAAAGGACACTCTGGATGGCTTTTGCTTCCTTGCCGAGGTTGCCGCGGGGCTGAGTCTCCAAGACCACGTCTTCCAGAAACGGCAGTGTGGACAATAGGAAGTGGGGGAGGAGGGCCGGGGGAGGGGGCGCAGCATAAGCAAATCCAGGGCTGCATTATGGTTTGTAGGCCCCTAGGCACTTTTCCCTGAATGGGCTCCCTCCATTAAAAACAAAAACAAAAACAAAAACAAAACCTTAAAATGTATTTTACCTACTTGTGATATAAAGAGGAATAGGTCGATGTTACATATTACAACACGTTTTTCTACTTAAAAGTTCTTCCACAGCTCCATGCCTGCTGAGCCCAGTGGGTAAGCTGGCCCTGGGCACAGCCAGGGAGGCGTGACACAGCCTGGAGAGAACATCAAAGCACCTAGAAGGCAGATGCTCCTGGGGCAGGCGGCAGCTACAGGAAGCAGCTGCACGAGAAGGGCCGAGAAGGGCCGGGGTGACCTAGGAGTGTGGGTTTCACAGTGGAGGCGGTGAGGAGCCCCTGCAGGGCTGGACTGGAGGACTGACGGTTTGGGGGTGGCCCTGGAAGTGGGGAGGACATTGGAGCGGCTGTTGCCACAATATGACATCCGAAGTCTCAGGGTAACAGTGGGGAGAGTTGGGAGGCCAGAACAGATTGGTGTGAGGAGGTGGGGCAGGGATAGCTGGGACTGGCCCCTCTGCTCACGCCCCTCATGGAAAAGGAGAAAACAAGGGCAGAAATGGTGCTTCAGGAGTTTTGGAAGGCCATTCATCAACAGCACGGCAGGGAGAAGCTGTGTACCCTACAGACCTGTGGGCGGCTTCAGGGCCACCTCTTCCCCAGACCTCTGCAAAGGCTCCTGAGAGGCACTGCAAGCCCCTCCCCCACTGCCTGAGGTACCTCCCCAAAGCTCCATTCCCACTGGGCCACTTTCAAGCTCCCTGCGGCCTGGACAACCAAACCACAGTCCTCTCCTGGGCATTTCCAGAATTCAGAATGAGAAAAAACAGACTGGGTTTTCAACACCCCTTACGGTAGTAGAACACTGTTCCAGAACCTCATTTGGCTACACATTTCTCAATCCCCGATAATTCCATTCCCCTGCTCTCTGTCCATTCCCCAACCAAAAAAAAAAAACCCAAAAGACAAAACCCATACTGGACTTCTACCTTCCAGTGCAAACACTGGGCTTCCTCCAGAGCAGACCAGGCCAAAATCAAGGGCTGGAGCAGGAAATGCACTTACAGGGAGAAGAGCTGGGCTCAAACGTCTCTGAAGGACAAACTTTCATTCATTCATTCTAAAACTTGGATTGAGCATCTACCATGTACTTCTGCACCATTCCACACACTGGAGATACAAACGTAAACACGTGAGCAGTGGTTTGCATGGGGGCAATGCTCCAGCAGGGGAAGGCAGTTTCCAAAGACCGTCACATGTCTTGTACTTCACCTCTTCCTCACTGAAAGGTGGTGTCTGATACCCTTTCCAGACAGACTGGTGACTCACTTATAAGCAACGGAATGCAGCAGGAGCGATTTGGGGTGACTTCTGAGGCTAGGTCATAAAAGGCAATGCAGTGTCTGCCTTGTTAGCATGCACTGGGCCTTCGGAGCCTTGAGACAAAATGTAGGAAGTCCAGCTATCCCGAGACTGCCATGCTTGGAGGTGGCCCAGGTCACACGGAGAGGCCACACATGTGTGTTCTGGCTGACATCCCAGCCACAGTCATAACCAAAGGTCAGCATCCACAGACAGACATGGGAGTGAGTGAATCTTCAGATGTTTCCAAACCCTAGCTGACCAATCACCTGCAGCCTGTGAGACTTCCCGGCTGCAGCCCTGCACACGTCCCGGCCTAAAAACAAGGCATCCCACTGTGTTCTCTCCAAATTCCTTACAGAATTCATGAGCATTATAAAACGGTTGTTTAAACCACTAAATTTGAGTAGTTTGCTGTGCAGAAATAGTAGGTAGAACACAGTAAGCAAATACATGAGCGAGATAATTTTATATTGTGATGGGTCCCCAGAAAAACATAAAATAGCATGATAATTTGGAGAAAGGCCTGGTTCGTTGAGGGGATGCGGTGGGGCGGGGGTTGAGGGGTGGATAGGAGGTGGAGGAGGGGAAGTAGATCAGGAAAGGCTTTCTGGAGGGACATTTGAGCTGGGATCTGAGTGAGAAGGAGCCCAGCCACTGAAGATCTGAGGGAAGAGACTTTCAGGCGGACGGCAGGTACAGCACGTGCCAAGGCCCTGAGGCAGGAATAAGCTTGACCTGTACTGTGAAGGTCAAAGCAGGGAGTGTAACTAGGGAGCTGTGGTTGAGGAGAGCGTGGTAATGGAGTTGGATAGGAAGGCGAGTCACTCTGCTCTTCCAGGCGGCTGCGAAGAGTTCGATTTAGAGCCGAGTGGGCTGGGGAACCCGTGGAGGGTATTATACAGGAGTGACTTGGTTTGGTAAGCCTTGGATAAGAGCTTTGGCTGCTAGGCGGATGACAGACTGTGAGGACGGCCAGACTGTAAAGCCAGCGAGGGACAAGGAAGGAAAAACCACTTTGGAATGTTAGGGTAGTGGTTGTTGAAAGGGGGGACGGGTGGTGGCCTGAGGTAGGACAATGGCAGTGACGGTGGGGGCTGGTGGACAAACTCGGGACACAGGCGGTGACAGGGAGGAACGAGAAGGGAGGAGGCGCCTGGCCGGCAGGTCGGCCCCGGGCGGAGCCGAGCCGTGGGTGAGGACCGGAACCCGACATCCTTCTGGAGTCGCCGAGGGAGGCTCGGAGCCAGGGCGGGCCAGGACAGCGCGTACTGGAGTCCGGAGACGGCCGCGGAGCCTGCCCCTGGCTGTGAGCCTGGCTGTGAGCCTGGCTGTGCGCCTGCCTGGCGTTTCCCGGCAACGGCCAGAGCCGCGCGTACATTCCGAACCCAGCGGCCTGGTGACGTCATCGTCACCTTAGCGACGGAAGGGCGGGATCGGAGTCCCATGTCGCGGGTTCCGGGGGCGGGGCCTGGGCGGGGTGTGCCCCGCCTTCGGCCCGCAGGTCCAGCTTCCAGGCCCGCCCCTTCTCGGGCAGAGGCAGGTGTGGCAGCAGGTGTGCCGGGCACTGGGGGGAGACCTCACCCGGCGGCCCCTGCTCTCCTTGGTGCACGCTGCCGCCCACGTGCTCTCCACACCCCTCCACACGCCTCTCCCCAATCTCCCGCTTTCCCCCTACGCCGCTGCCTCCAGCTCTTAGGACTGGCTCCTAAGTCGTCTCGGGTCACCTCCGGAGAGTTGCCTTCTTCCACCGCCCAAGCTAAGTAACTGCCAGCCCTTTTCTTGGGGACTTTTTTTTTTTCCTTCACAGTATCGCTCTCTCTAAAATGATCTTAACTGCTTATAATGCATTGCTTCCCTTTTTAGAACTAAGTTCCATGAGGTTAGTTGTTCATCTCTTGTTCATTTTTAGCACCCTGAACGGAACCTGGCATGAAGTAAGTGCTCAATAAATGTTGGATGAATCTGAATTCACTTCATTTCATTCATCCGTGCGTTCATTTATTCGACATTTATGCAATGCTCTCCAGGCACTTGTGATAAACACTAGAGGTATTGAGATGAACAGGGCAGGGACTCCACCTAGCGGTGAGAAGAGATATTCCCGGGCCTGGCTGGGCAACCCTCCCACTCTGGAGCAAGATTCTGATCAGATGCCCTCCAGGACAGAGTCCAAGACTCACCAGGAGGGCAGGCCAGAGGTAGAGGGTCAGCAGTTTGTGTGTGTGGCGGGGACGGTGAGGAGAGAAAGGGGAGCAGAGACATGGGCAGACCTTCCTGGGTCCCAGCCAAGATCCAGAAGAAGGGCTGGCTTTTCCCAGACCTCCAACCCTGCCATTGCCAGGAAAACAGGGTGCCTGGAGGTTGTGGCTGTTTTCTCCCACAGTGGGGACCCAGAAAGCACAGTCAGACACACACAGAGCAGAGAGTAAAACTGGGGTTTATTCAGAATTTTTTCTTCCCCTTTGGGTGCACAGTGTGGGGCAGTGGGTGCGGGGACAGCGGGGACAGCGGGAAGTACCTTTGTCCTCTAAGGACATTACTGATTGCTGACCTTGTCTGTGTGACCTTGGGGCTGCCAGGAGGACCCTCTGATCCATGAGGATGGTGACAAAGGGGCTCAGCCCTCAGCCTGAGCCTAAACAGAGAGGCCACTCCAGTGTCTAGTTGGCCCTGTTCTTTCCAGGAATTAAGGAGCAGATGGCTGAGAACATTTCGATTCATCATAAAAGCAGTGAAGACTGCGGGTGGCAGGTCACTGAAGGGGCCCCGTCCTGAGCAGTGGCATTCAGACTCATGCATGTCAGCATGCAGGCCAGTCCCATGTGGACTGATCACACCCTGCACAAACAGCTGAGAGCCCCCATCCGACTCCTGTTCCCCAGGCCTCTTGGTGGGCCTTTCCCAGTCTTTTCTTTCTCCCTTTGCAAGAACTGGGCCTATTGATGGAGCTCATGAAAGAGAAACCCCCTATAAGCCCCCAAAGATGCCCTTTCTCCTTGGTCCTGGCCTCGTGTGTGCAGGAGGTAGGCACCCACCTCAGTTCCCTGGAGGAAGGTGCCCCAGGGACAGGCGGGAGGTGGAGGGGCTCACTGGGCTGCAGGCTGGGAATGGCCGCAGGGCACTGGCACCCTCCCTGTGTCTCCCAGGCCCCCACTGAGTTCGGTGGGGCTTTGTAGGAACTGTCTTAACAAGGGTGAGGCTTGGAGCTCCAAGTGGGGACCTGGGCCCCCTGGCAGCCCTGCCTGCTCAGTGACCGTGGTTGAGGATGTGAGGACTGAGTTTCCATACTGGTCCACCTCCTCATACTGCTCCGTCACAGTCCTCACAGCTCCGTAGTGCTGGGAGCCACCAGGCCCAGTTTGTAGCTCCAGGACACTCTTCTGCCGCCCGCTGGGCACAGGGCTGGCTGAGGCAGGGGCTGGCTTGGGCTTTCCAGAGCACGGGGCCGCCTCCTGTGTCCCGGCCTTGTCCCAAACACCTTTCTGGTAGAGCAGGGTCTGGCTCACATCCTGGGCGAGGTTTGTGCTTTTCAGTGAGACATCTGGGCTACCCCTGGGGCTGGGAGCTTCCAGAAGCTTTCTTGTGGCTGACTTAATGGAGATGAAGGTTGGAGAAGAGGGTATATCTCTTCCAGAAGGCAAGACTAGAGGGAGGCCTGAATCATCTCTCAGTGTCTCCAGCCTGCTGGTGGAAGGGGCAGTTGAGACTGCTTGACCTCTGGCCTCTGTGTGATTTCTGACCTTGGCCTGACGCTGGACTTCAGTATGACATGGAACTTCAGTTTGGCTCTTGACTGCGGTTTGACCCCTGACCTCCTGGCCTGAGCAGTTGGGTCTGGCTCTGCTGCTGTCCACAACACTGACTTTGTAGGCACTGTGGTCATTTGGGGGTCCTTTGGAATGGCCCCTAGTGTTAGCCTCAGGCTGGAGGCTAGACATGGAGCTGAGGGCCTTGTGCACAGCTTCTTCAATGTCCAGCAGCCTGGCCAGGGTCTGTTCCCTCAGGCGAGCAACCTCTGTGCTGACCCTCGTCAGCTCCCCGAAGGCCTGCTCCACTGAGGCCTCCGGCTTGTGGGGGGCAACAGGAGCCCGAAGGGCCCCTTCCAGCTGGGGCACAGCCTCAAAGAGTCTCCGCAGTGCCTGCACGTCCACGCTGCTTGTGGCCTCCTTCTCCAGGGTTTGCACCTGGCTCAGGAGGCCCTGGAGCTCTTGCTGGCTGCCTTGCAGAATCTTAGGGCTCTCAGGGGCAGCTTGGTGGGGACCTTCTGTTGGCTTCACTTCTGGGGTGCTGGGGCCCTGCTGTGGTGAGGCAGGGTCACTGCTGAGAGTGGAGAGTTTGGTGGGGTCAGGGCTCTGGGCATTGCTACCCACAGCCTCACTCTTGGTCAGCCCAGGGGCCATAGTGTTGGGGCCCTGCTGGGGGCTGGGCTGGCTCTGACCACTGGAACACGCAGCCAGAGGTATGTGTCCCTGGCCTGCAGTGGTGGAGGCCTTGGCTGGCTGAGGCATGGCTGCATCTGTCTTGCCTTGTTTGTATTCTCCTTGGGAGGAGCTGAGAGATAGAGCTGAGGGCTTGGGCAGCCTCCGAGGAGGGGGGATCTGGCTTAGGTGTGCAGGTTTGGGGGGCAGCTGGGGCTTCTTCCTTGGGGGTATGGTAGGGTCCAGTTTTAGGGTCTTTGTCTGTGACTCCCCAGAGGTTCTGTGGCCAGCAGGACTGCTGTGGGAGTGGAGAAGGGGGTCTTGCAGTGGCTTGGAGGCCTGTCGGGTAGAGTCCTCATCATGGTGGGCTTGGGCTGGGTAGTCAGGTCCCGTCACAGCAGCTGGGAGAGGAGGAGGAGGAGGAGGAACAGAGGCATTATGGGAGTGCAGGCTGTCACCTGCATCCTGAGGCCCAGAGGCCAGGGTGTGATGGGCTAGAGAGGCAGCCTTCAGGGTGGTCTCCGCAGTGTGGAGGCCGGCTGGGCCCACTCCTGGCATGGCTTTCTCTGGAGGCCCTGGGGCCCTCTGTGGGCAGCCCCCAGGCTCCTCCTGCCCTGGGCCAAGCCTCTGACCTGGGCATTCTGGGAGTGGACTGGAAGCCTGGGCTGGGAGGGCCGTCTCCCCGCCCCATGGTGGGTGTTCCCTCTCAGAGGGCTGGACACCTCCAGGTAGGTCAAAGGTCCTCAGTGGGTGAGCAGTGCAGATGCCATCCTGAACGGTCACCCGCCCCCCAGGCAGCCCTCCGGACAGTACTTTCTGTTCCCCACTGACCTTTCTGGGGGCTGCTGGGATCCTGGGGTCCCCTCCAGCCATAGGCCTGGTGTTGCTTTGCGCAGTCCCAGTGGCCGTGGCCGTGGCTTGCCGAAGACCGTCCTGGAGGGGCACGGAGGTGGCTCCGTGGGTGAGACCCTGCTGGTCCTTGTTCGGAACTTGCTGCTGCAGGCTCCGGGCCTCCGCCGTGGCCATCTGCAGACTCTGCATGGCAGCCTGGAGGTCTGGCACTTCGGGCCCTAGGGGCACACTTGTGGCTCCTTGTGACTTTCCCAAAGCTTCCATCCCTTTCTGCCCAGTGTGACTGTCTTCTTGCTTTTCTCGGCCAGCCAGAGGAACTGCCTTTCCAGTGGCCTGTGGGGGGTAGGGGGTGGCTCCCGGGCTTCTCAGATGCCCCATCCCCACACTGGGGTCCAGCGGGGGAACGTGAATGATGCTCTCAGTTGGGGGCAGCCTCTGGGTCCCCTCGCTGGCTGGCACGGGGCTTGGGTCAGCCGGTGGCTCCCAGCGCAGGCTCTGCAGGCCGCTCAGGTCTCCTTTGTCTATGCAGCTGGCCAGCAGCTGCACACTGCTCCTCTCGGGGGCCCTGCTGGTCAGCCAGGGTTGCAGGGAGTAGGCGGTCAATGAGACCAGGCCCTGCTCCGTCTCTTGCATCACCAGCCCGGTCCTTGCTGCTGAGGTACCCAAGCCACAAGCTAGCACCTGCTGGAACTCTAGGTCCAGATCTTCGACGTTCTTACTGCCACCTGGAGCTGAAAGCCTCAGGGGCTTGAGCCGGAGCTGGCCTGCTGGGTCCTCCTGAACCAGCAGCCCCTGCGGGTCCACATCTGGCCGTTGCAGCACTTGGCGGACAATCCTGGGCAGCTCGCCAGACACCAGCTCCTCCTTCCGTATGTGGGGGCCCCCCTGCCCTGGGCCTGGGAGCACATACTTGGCTAGGCAGAGCTCCCCGGGCCCTCGGGCCTCCATGAGGATGCCTTTGTGGTGCAGGATGCCAGGTGTGGTGTGCAGAGAGCGCAAGGTCGCCTCGGCTGCAGTCTCCTGCCTCTCCAGCACCCTGTCTGACTCGCCCATGGGCTGCTCTTCCTGGAGGTCACCCCCTCGGATGCTCTCAGCTGCCAGAGAGCCCATGGGACAATTCTCGAAGAGCCAGGTGAACTTGTTCACAGAGCCCGCAGGGATGGGCTCAGGGATTGACCTTGACCCCTGGTCTTCCCTCTTGCCTGCCTCCAAGGCCTGGAAAACCTCCTTCTGACGAGACACCTGCCCTGAAGGAATCTCCACACGGCTGCAGTATCGCACAGGCCTTCTTCCACAGGGACGGTCTGACGCCTGCAGAGGCTCAGTCTCAAAGACGTGTCTGTCTGTCTGTTTTTCGCCAGCTTGGACCTGGCTAACCTGCAGGTGTTGCTCCCTGGAGCCTGCTGGCCCATCCAGGGCCTGGGGCACAAACATCCAGGTGCAGGACTGTGCCTCAGCCTTTGCTGTGAGGTCTGCGGCCTCTGACCCCTGCTTCTCTGCCAACTCACTCATTGGGCAGGTCTCGAACAACCAACGTATAGTCCTCACATCCCCCTTGGCGGGTGCCTCAGGCTGAGGGCCTGCTTGACCCCTTCCTTCTTCTTCCTGTCGTTCTTGCTGCTCCCGCTGGTGGATTACTTCTAGGGGCTGGGTCTCAAAGAGCCACCGGGCAGTGCCCACGTCCCCAGCCACCACTTCCTGCCGGGTGATGCCCCGCACCACGTCGACAGTCCTGGGATTTTGGCCCAATTGGTCTAGGGGCTGTGTCTCAAACATCCACCTGTAGCCTTGCACATCACCTCCGACTACTTGCTCTCTGCTGACAGAGGTCAGGGCGTGGAGGTGGCCTCTGCCATCCTGCATGGCATACACTGGGGACCCTATGTCCTGAGACTGCCCAACAGAACCCATTCCTTCTACTTTGCTCACACTCCTGGGGGTGGAGGACTCACCCTGCCCAATGCTGTCCAGGGGAAGGGTCTCAAAAAGGTTCTTGAAGGTCTTCACATCCCCCTTCACCTCATCCTCCTGGGGGACACGTGGAGACAGGGGCAGTGCTGGGGAGCCATCAGCCTCCCGGGGACCCACCCGCTGCAGGTGACCCACTTGGATCTTGTCTCTGGGAGTGTCCAGGGGTTTCATCTCAAATAGCCACAGGGTGGATCGGACGTCACCAGGGACCACTTCCTCTTTGGGCAGGGCCTCTGCCCCAGCCTCCTCTTCCCCCTTGAGAGTGTCTAGCGCTCGGGTCTCAAACAGATGTCGCTGCTGCTGAACATCTGGACCAGGAGGGATAAGGTCTGGGGATGGCTGGAAGTCCTTCTCATCCACCAGGATCTCCCGGATGGCATCCAGGGGCTGTGTCTCAAAGATCCAGCGAGTTGCACTGACATCGGGCCGGGTACCCTCCTCCAGGGAGATGCCCCGGATCACCCGCACCTGGCTGGGGTCCCGGTTGATGGCATCCAGAGGTTGGGTCTCAAAGAGCCAACGAGCTGTCCTCACTGCATTGCTTTGGATCTCCTCCCGGCATGCGGCCTTGACCTCGTGGATGGCGCCTTCAGCATCCTGGATGGCGCACAGCGGCTCCGTTTGGAACAGCTTCACTGTCTTCTTCACATCACCCTTCAGCTCCTGGATCTCCGAGCGCAGCTCCAAGGGACTCTGCTCCTGGAGGGAGGGGCGGGAGCCCAGGCGGTCCAGCGGCCGAGTTTCAAAGAGCAGCCTGGTGCCCTGGACATCTCCACTGGCTGCGGGCTCCCTCGCCGTAGCCTCCGGGACCTCGGGCTGGCCCGTCAGCTCATCCAGCGGCTTTGTCTCGAACAGTTGTCTGGCTGCTCGAACGTCCCCTCTGGGTGGCTGAGGTCTGGCTGACTCCTGGTCTGCGCTGTTGGCAAAGGAGCCTTCCTCAAACTTGCGGGAAGTGGCCTGGACATCACCGCTGGGCACAGGCTCCTTGGCAGCTGGCTTCTCATGGTCCCCAATGGCATCCAGCCGCCAGTTCTCAAAGATCCAGCGCATGCACTGGACGTCACCCTCAGTGGGCTCCTCTGAACCCAGGACCTCGGCCAGGTCTTCAGCCACAGCCTCGGCCAGGTTCTTGCGGAGCTCAGGGTGGATGTGCCTGTAGAGGCGGCGGAGCTCGTTCGCCTGCCGCTGCTGGTGGAACTTGGAGAAGGACTCCTTGGGTGGTGGCAGCGGCAGGTCCTCCAGGGCTGGTGGTGGAGGGAGGGGCGGGTCCTCTGCCGTGGACATCGGGATGGTTGGCATGGGGGCCACCTGCGTCTGGGCGTTGGACATCCTTCTGAAGAGAAGGGCAGGGATGAGGATGAGCAGGGAGCCGTCGGTGGGAGGGGGTGGTTGCTGGGGTAAATGGCAGGGAGCAGGATGCAGGGGCAGAGTAGAGCCGCGGTGACCTGCCCTCTCCAGGCAGACTTCACGTGGGTCTCACGCTGCCACCTGCATGATTGGTGTGTGACTAATCTTAAACTTGGGGCATATGGAACCACCCACCAAGGTGAGTTCCCGGCTTCCCCAGAATCACCTGAGCAAGCAGGCTCTGCTGGCCAGGAAGTTCTGTCCTTCAGCCCCACAAGGGATTCTCAAACCTCTAGGGGGCAAACTGGATGTGCCCCATCCTCACCTTCCTTTACCAAAGTCATCTTTCCCTGATGGAGTCCCAGGTGAGTGGCCCGAGGGATTCCTGACTTTTATGGGGTCTCAGCCAAGGGCAGGTCCCTAAATTGGTGACTATTTCCCACTGAGAAGAAATTCCCATTCATAACACTAGAGGGCGCTCTTGCTTTTATTAGGCTGCTTGCTCAACCTCGCTACCAAGGCTCGCTCTCCAACCTTGCCCAGGCCCGCAGCCCCGCGGAAGCCATAGAGGCTCACCAGGTATCATGGTTAGCAGAGCAAGATCCTGAATCCCAGGCAGAGGTCTGTGCTATACCCCAAGACCCAGAGGTCTGAGCTGGGGGCGTCGTAAGGGTCTTCCAGATCAACTACTCATAATTAAAGATGAGGGAACTGAGGCCCAGCAGGGGTCAAATCGTGGTGAATGGATGACAGGCTGCACTGGCCTGGGGCTCCTAAACCCTATTTGGGGTCTGGGTCCCAAGAAATAAGAGGGTAGGGGTGTGAAACTTTCTTAAGGGTTCCCTAGGAGAGGGAGGGGGACCCTCTGCAGAGACAGCCCAGCCAGCCCCTTGCTCACGGGCACTTGGTCCCAGCTGTGTGCACAGGGCCCGAGCCTGGCTCTGTGGTCCCCTCCTTTCTCCGTCTTCCTATCAGTCAGCTCCCACCAAGGTGTCGTCTACCCCCCAGTCCACCCCTGCCCCCCTCCATGGTCTCCCACCTCTCAAGCCCTTCTCTGGCCTCTGTCCCCTGTATCTTATCTGCCTCGTGACAGGTGTACTAACAGTCTCCAGAGGCCAGTAGGGAAAGAATGAGGAGCATGTGCCCCCGCCCGCTGCCCCTGACCCACACTCCCTGCTCCACACTGGGTGCTAAATATAGCCCCGGTCCTGGCCTCAGCACTGCAGCCCTGGGCTCTGAGGGAGGCTCAGGCTTCGCTGGCGGGACCCTGGGCGCCTCAGCCCATCTCATCTCCTCCTCCTCCCTGGGACCCCTGATCCTGCCCCTGCCTCCTGAGCTGGCATCAGGCCCCTGGCCTGCAGGATGGCCGGTACTGGGGCCTGGAACCCTGCAGTGGTAACAGGGGTGTGGGGCTGAGGGGAGGTGCAGGGACAGGCAGCAGGTGGGGGGCAGGGCTTCCTCCTGCTTGCCCCGCCCCCACCCCAGCTTGTCCACCAAAGCCCTCAGAAGCCCGAGGAATGTGAACTCCAAAACCTGCCACTCGACCCTCACCACACACTCTGGGGGGTTCCTTTAGTCCCTGAGTTCTAATGAGGAGCCCTGCCCAAGGCAAGCCATGCCTGTCCCCACCTCCTCCCCGCTGTGTCACCACCAGTGTGGCCTGTGCACATGGCATGTGCAAGGCCACAGACTCCACCCCTCTGCACTTCCCCCCCAGGAATCTCCAGAATCCCTGCTGTGGTCACATACTGTCGGAATCACAGAGTCCAAGGGTGTCAGACCTAAGGACCCACAGAGGTCACTGTTCTGATGGGGAAACAGGCCCAAAGCGGGGGAAGGAGCTGTCCCAGGAGGCTCTACACAGCGGCAGCAAGGCCTGAAGCAGGTTTCTCAACTCTTGGTCCTTCCGTGCCTACCCCTGCCTGTCCTGAGACACCTGGAGTTTCTAGGAGGCAGGGACAGGGGCTGGGGGGAGGCAGAATTCAGAGCTGGGACCAGACTTAAGTGTCCCAGGCTTGGCATCCTAGGGCTGGCCGACTCCTCGGGGTGACCCCACCTCTCTGCCCAGCCTGCCCCTCCTGGGCCCAGCCCCTGTACAGGTCTCTACATCTGGGCAGATGCAGGTTTCGTCTGCCCACCTTGCACCCCACAGACCTGCCCCTGGGCTTCCTGCACTGGGTAGGATGAGGGCTCAAGGCAGCCCTGGGGGCATCCCTGGGCCAGACGTGCCAGGATTTTCACCCATGGGCATGGAGCCTGTGTTGGCAATGCCGAGGTGGACCTGCTGCTCAGCCTCCGCCTGCGTGTCCTCCCAGCTCCCCTCCCTCCTCCCTCTTTCCTCCAGACGCTGGGCCTTCCTGAGAGGAAGCCCTGAGGCCTGGGGAGCTCCGTGCCTGTATTTTAAGCTTTGCAACTCCAGGCCACCTCCTCCTGAATGCCTTTCTGGATTTTTTTCGGACTGGCAAGAGCTTGCCCCTTGTTCAGCTCAGGCCTGTGGCCGGCAGTCTGAGAGCTTCCCTGGGGCCCGCACTAACTCTCCCTTCCTCGTGGAATCTGTATGTATGTCAGAGGCCCCCCCACTCACCTGCGTGGCCCCTCAACCTCTTTCTGCTCCACCAATGCATGCTGTCCTGACAGCCGGTGGCTCATGTCCGGATGGGACCCCAGCCTGGCTAGCCAGCCTGCTGTGAAAATACCAAGGGCAGGTTACTCACCTGATGCCCTGTTTGGCTGGTGTGATGCGTGGGGTCTGTGGCAGGTGTGGCCTTAGGGTCTGTCGCTCCACTTGAGCTCCTCGCTTGGGGTAGGGGCTACTCTCTGGTTCCCTGCAATGCCCTCTCGCTGCCCTGGCTCCGGGTCTCTGTCCCCTGCCAGCCTCAGCAGCTGCCTTTATCTTGCTGGCTAAGGGGGTGGGCCAGGGTGGGGGTGGGCAGGAGAGGCTAAGTTCAGAGCATGAAGTGGTTCGGTTATTTTTAGGGCTTGTGGAAGTCACTCTTCCATCCTGAGGAATCGGTTACATGTCCTTTGTGCTGGGGAGGGGAGGCGGAGTGAGGGGGAAGCTTCATTCATCTGCGTCTGATCCGAGGACAGGGCTCTGTGACTCAGCCGTGGCAAGGGGCACGGGTGTCCCAGACTATTTTGAGGAAGTGAATAAGGAGGGGCATCTGACACCTGGACGGCCCTGCCCCCCAATTCTGGAAGCCCTCCACCCCCCAACTCTGGACTGATGAGTGTGTGTCCATTGTGCCTGGAGACTGGAGCCCCCCCTCCATCCCCCTGCAGGCCCAGGAGTGGGGGGCCCTTTCCCTCTGACCTAAGGCCCAGTTCTCTCCCACCCTCCCTGCACTAAAGATCACCCCCTGGAACCCATTTTCCCTCACACCCTGCAGCTCAGTCTACAGACCTGAATTTACAGGCCTTAACTCTCTGCTAGGTCCGATTTAGCAAAGAAGCCCACAGGATGGTCTGCGGTTGTCCCGGCAGATTCTCAGGCCCTTGTTTACTTTGGGGCTCTTCCCTCTGACTCAGGGCCCAGACTTCCTGGGAATGGAGGGGAGGGAAAGGGAGGGGTGGCAGGCGGGGAGCTGACTTGTGGGGTTATTTCTGACCCTGGAGTCATCAGCTTCCAGTCACAGAAGGAAGGAGTGAGGGTGGGTCACACCTGCCCCTCCTTTGCTGCCCAGAACCCGAGGGGCATTTAGGCCAGGACGGGGCATTTAGGCCAGGAAGGGGCCAGTGCGGTGAGAGGCTTCGGGGGCCATCCAGAACACCCATGAGGGGGCGTGTTGCCCAGGCTGCTTGTCCAGGGCTGTGCAGGTGCCTGCGGTCACCTGGCAGAACAAGGCTTTCCTCTGACACCCCCAGTGCCCTCTGGTGCCAGGGAGTGACACCAGGCACTGCTCACTTTTTCCCCTGAGTCAGCCTCAGCCTTGCAGCGTTGGCCGTGGCAGGGAGAGGGGCATCTGGAAACCTTCTCCCTGGTCCCCTACCCCTTCCCGTCGTTGCCCCTGCCTTTTCCCACCTTCCTCCCCGCTCCCCGGGCTCCTGGCCATGCCCAGCAAGGTCAGGAAAATATAACCGCCTTTCCTTTCGGGCCAGGAGGGGAGGAGCCTTAGGTGTCTCTGGAGCCTCTGCCCAGGGATCCCTGAGGTGCCTGCCTGCTCTGGTTTTGAGAATTGAATAAATCAAGACATGAAAAGTTTTGAAGAGCATGCTTAGCGTGTAGGCTACAGAAGTGTCCACTGTTATTACATATGTAAGAAAAGAAAGTGGGCCCTTGAAATATCAGGGGCCACTCTGTGAAGTGCATGATTGTCTAACTGCTTTGTTGTACACCCGAAACTAATACAGAATAATACTGAATGTAAACTGTCATTGAAAAGTAATTAAAAAAAAAAAAGAAAAACACCAGGCAGAGCCCACTTTGGTACTCACCTCAAGTGTGAGTAGTGACAATTTCTCAGCCCTCAATACCAATAAAGAAGCTTTTCCTGACAACCAGGTTTGTTTTTATGTAGTACAACTCTACTGTCTAATACAGCCCCCATGAGCCACACATGACTATTTAAATATATTGAAATAAAATGAAATTCAACATTCAGTCCCTCCATCCCACTAGCCCTATGCTAGTGCTCCACAGTGATCTGTACCTATAATGATCATATTGGACCATGTTTCTGTCCTGGTAGAGAGTTCTGTTGGGTACTGCTGTTATAGACACTAAAAAAAATCTCAGAATGAATAGTATTTCCCTTTTTGCCTTGGCTGTTAGGAAGCTCTGAGCTAAATTTTTAGTCTTCTAGCAAGTAGACATTCTGGCTGGTGGCCTGTGCAATGAGGGTGACCAACTGTCCCTGTTGCTTGTCTCTGAGGGGTTGCCCAGAACAAGGGACTTTCAGTTTTACAACTGGGGAAGTCCTAAGAAACCAGGAGGGGTTGGTCTGCCCATGCGTGATGGTCATCATTAAGGTGTCGGTTACACAAGGCTGTTATAGCAGCAAGCCGGGCGTAGCTTATCAGAGTTTCTTTGGTGGGGATGCTATGCCTCTATCCCTGCAAGCTCCCTTAAATTACTGTGGGAGCGAGGAGACTAGGAATAGGTAAATACCTGAGGCTGAATGGCTGTGCTGATCACACAACAGAGGCGACTTGGGTGCAGGTTGGAGAGGGAAGGGTGTTTCCAGAGATCACAGTCCCTCCTCCTGGCCTACGTGTCAGTCCCAGGGAGCCTTCCCCTGCAAGCCATTCCCTCCAAGGGGGCTTCACCAAAGTTGGGGATTGCAGAAGTTCACACCTAAGTCTCTCTGGTGCACTGGCCCTTGAGGGTGGAGCTCAAAGGAAGTAGCTGGCAGCAGACTCACCTGGAGTTTTAGCAACGGCAAGGTCCAGGAATGATTAATAACAGACTCCCTGAGCTTGAATCTTAACCTGTGAGACTTACTAGCTGTGTGAGCTTGGAAGTTACTGACCCTCTCTGTTTCTCAGTTTCCTCATCTATAACATGGAGATGATAATTATGCATATCTCAAAGAGTTGCAATGAAGAGTATACATTTATTACACTCACATACACTACTTTGAACAGTGGCTGCCACACTAAATGAGTGAGGTCAGTAGGTCTTTCCCTGGGTCCTGGCCACCCTCAGCTTCTCCGGGTCCCAGATCCCAGTGTGTCCTCTGGGTTCAAAGACAAGTGCCCTTCAAGGCACTGGCTGGTGGTCCTGGCTTCCCTCCAGCCCAGAAGCAGACACCAGTGCCAAGGGACAGCTCTGGGCACTGTGGGCTGGGTCTCTTCCAGGCCTGCAGGTGACAGTCCTGTTCAGCCTCTGGAGAAAAATCATCTGAAGCCAGAGGAGGGATTTTCTGCTCTGAGTCAGCTCACAGGGTGGACAGATGTGCGGGGATTGTTGTGACTATTGCTTGAGAGGCAGCAGAGCCTGGAGCCTGGTGTCTGGGAGTGTGGCAATCTGGTATCACGCTATCACGCTGCCCTGCCCTGGATCAAACTGCCAGCCGGGCTTCCTAGTTACCGTATTTTGTCGTGATGATGCGCATCCATGTTTTGGGCCCAAACATTCAGGAATTTTTTTTTGTTTTAATTTAACTGTTTGTTTGTTTGTTTATATTTTGACACTTGTTTTTGCAATATAAAGAAATCTTAGCATTTGTTTTTTAACATATGATGGTACAAGCAATTTTTGTAATAATTACAAAACAGATACAAGGTATTAAGGTACTACCCACGTACAATGCACATCTTTGTATTCCCTCAAAACTTTGGGCAAAAAAAGCACACATTATACCGGGCAAAGTCCAGCGTATGACCTCTGAGAGTCCTTCAGCTCTCTGACCCCCAGTGTCTAAGTTTGGGATATTCCAGGAGCAGAAATGAGACGGAGGTGAACATTCGAGTAGTTTACCTGGAAGGGGAGGAGCATGGTGAGGGAGGGGAGAAATGAGTTGCGGGGCTGAGGGGTGTGGGGGGGCGGGGGAGGGAAGTAGATCACTTCTGTGGGCAACTTGGGCTTCATCCCACAGGGGACCCTCTGGGAGCCAGTGTAGAACATGCCTTACCCGAAGTGAGGAAGCTGGGGTCCTTCACCAATCTTCACCCCCACAGGTTGAGGGTTTGTTCCCTGGAAGCTCTAACTCCCCCATACTTCCGGTGGCCCCTCCAGTAGAGGGAGGCCAGTGTTTGAGATGCAGTGAAGCCGAGGGCCTCACAGGGGCTGTCCATTCAAGCTACAGGGGGCCCTGGGAAGGGGGAAGGAGGTGCAGAGGCCTGGGGAGGGCACTGGCGGCATTTGCTACATTAGAGTCTCCCATCTGTGAGGTGGTGATAAGCCGGTATCACGTGGTTGCTTTGAAGCTTTGGACATGTGCTTTCCAGGTGTTCTTAAATCATGATTACCCAGGTGGGCCGGGCCCAATCAGGTGAGTCCTTGAACAGCGGCGTTTCCTCCAGCTGGTGGCAGAAGAGGACATCAGGGGAGCTGAGGCATATGGGGGATTTGATGCTTCGTCCCTGAATGGGAATGTGGATGCGTTAAGCAACGGAGAGAGGCCTCTGGCTGGCAGCGAGCGAGGAAATGGGGACCCCAGTTTTACAACCTAGGGAGCTGAATCGTGCCGCCAGCCTGAATGAGCATGAGTTTCCAGGTGAGCACTCAGCCTGGTTTCCACCTTTTGATACCCCGAGCAGGGCACCCAGCCCTGCCAGCTGGACTTCCGACCTTGAGAACTGTGGGCTCATCCAAGGGTATTATTTAGGTTGCTCAGTTTGTGGTGTTTTGCTACACAGGCAATAGAGAACTAACACAATGGAATCCGGGGCAGTCCAGGGAGGGCAGGAGGCTGTGCCAGCCCATTTGTTATGGTCACGCAGTCAGCCCAGAGCTTGGCCTAAGCGTTTTCTACCAAGTGGCGAACTTGGGGGCGCTAGGTGGCTGGGCTCGGTATGCCCCAGGTCTCCTCCAGAGAGCGTCTCAGAATCAAGAAAGTGGAGGTAGGGGAAGTCCTGGCAGGAAGCACCCACAATCCTTCATTGCTTCCATGTCACACTGGGGGAAACTGAGGCATGCAGCAGCGCTTGGATGCTGTGGAGCAGTGAAAGGAGCTGGTTTCAGAGATTCCTCCTTTGGGACCTGGTTCCACCGCTTGCCAACTCTGCAACCTTGGACCAGTTGGGTCAGCTCTCCGAGCCTCAGTTTCCCTGTCTGTACAGTGGGGGTGAATGTTGTGGCCATGAGCAGGTGCGGGAAGGATATTCTGGGCAGCGGGAAGAGCGTGGGCAAAGGCACAGAGGTGGGGATGGTGTTACCTGAGTGCAGGGTGCATGGGCAGCGGGTGGAGAGCCGAC